ATTTTCAGTACAAATCGGCAATTTCATACTTTAACCCCTATTATTATGGCTAAAGTGACAGAAAGAACGAATGATTTCCCAATATTGTCTATTCCTTACTAAAAATAGGAAAGAAATAACGCTATATGAACTGGTACAATGCCATCTGTTTCTTTTTTGATGTTCCGAATCGTCCTATCATAGTATAATGTTAAAGTACTTAATATTATTTACATTTAGAGAATTTTAACTGCTAAAAATAGAAAAGTATGTAATAATAAAATCTATTAAAATTACATTGTTTTAAATTATTTTTCGCATTTTCATGAAGAAAAATAAATAAAACAAGCTGAGTCTTGATAGTCACGTTGTGAATTCGGAGTTATAGTCTAGTGTCAATTGTTAGTGTCCCCAAGGAGCATATAGATGGCGCTGTCATAATTTTACGAAATAAACATCGTGTATTTTTATTTATCGAGAAATTATTTCCTATGTACTATTAAATAAAAAAATTAAACTAAACATTGAAGAGATATATGTAAATAAATAAGTTTAACTTAACTTTTAATCATTCCAAATAAACATTCAGACAATAAATTCGGAAATAATATTGTTTCCATTGCATCCGTGTAACTATTTTAAGCTTGCTAAATTTGACATAAGGTCAATATTACTTTAATGTTTAGTTACTCATTGTACGAACGGAGCGAATGAATAGTCGCAAAGCTGCCGATAAAACATTATAGTTAAAGTAATATTGTTTTAAGAGGTTGTAGTAGGCCCCCAGTAGTTTATTTTGATATAATACTGCACCCAATATATATTATTAAATTACGTAACACATAACCTCCACAACTTCAAACTGTAAATTATCTTTAATTCCTGACTTTTCAGAATAGTAAACACAAAACAAAATTTGTTTAGAAATTTCAACTCTATATTTTCACATATTTTTCATAAACAAACGGATACAAATTATGTCAACAAAAATTTATATGGGAGCTTGCCATTGTCCTTTAAAATAATGAAGAGGTTCCTTTACGGGACTAAATTTTGCTGTGGCACAATGTTGTTACGTTTAGGTTAATGTTGTCGATAGTATTTATTAATGTCAATTTGTCGTCTCACAGGAGCATCATGCCTCAAGAGTTGATTCCAGTGTCGAACGGTTCCAGTTACGAATCCTTCTACGTTGTGACAAACCACTACGCAGCTTCGTACAGAATTCTTGTTACCACTTTGCTTCACTCTGCTAAATATAAGTAAGTTCTCGTACTTGTATTTCGCTTCTTAAAGTCTGGATTTAGTCTCTTACCTTGTCAAGAAATCTGAAAGAACTCATTCGTAATGACAACAAAATGATGATAATTGTTTACACCAGCGACATTGTTTTCTATAATCTCAGTATAGAGTGCTAAAAAACCGGCCTCAAAAGTCATTCATCCCCTAGTTTGCCACCTTTAAAGGTGGAATATTTTCTTCTAATTTAAATGGGCCACTACTGAGGTACCCGCTTTCCAAGAAAAAAGAATCATCAAAATCGGTTCACAGGTTATCGCGTAACATACATACAAAAAAAATTCAGTCGAATTGAGAACCTCTTCCTTTTTTGTAGTCGGTTGAAATATGACTACGTTTCAATAACTACCAATCGGAGTCAGGTTTATTTGTGCGGTGCGATTCAAACGATGACTCATCTCACAACGTGCCTACTTGCGACACGCTTGAGGCTACAAACTGGACGACAATGGGCGGCGAAGGGCGCGGTGGCGACAGCGATGCGGGCAAAGACTTGCGCGAATTGATCAAAATGCTTAAGTTTGCATATTATGCTGTTGTCGACGGCAGCGGCGCGGGCAGAGCGGCACACGAACGTCGCTCCAGTCGCTCGTCATAGTGTCCTTTTGATCCACACCTATTTTTCGATCATTCAAATTTAGAGATGTCGTCGAAAATAATTTCAGCAGTTTTCGAAAGACCACCAATATGCAAACACATCGACAATCAAAATAGAAGTATTTATTAATGACTATAAAGAGATGAATAAGATACTAGTCGTTCGTAATTAGAGTGTAATTTCAATTCTGGCTTGATATTTGAAAGATATATTCTTTCAAACAATTGTCATTTCAAAAATGTCAAACATTGCCACGGTCATTATAGCGTTCTCATAGAACTTTCCGGATTTTGTTTTTGGTCTTCGTAATTTCGGCGAAACTTGCCTGATTGCTTTCTTTGTTTGTAGTATGGGTTCACGTCTTTTTGCGCCTATAATTACTCCTACTGAATAAAAGATAAATTAAATGGTCACGTCACAGTATCGACATTGCGCTCACAATCTCGTTACGTCGTTACCGCCACAAACTAAGCGATTGGTCGCTGGCGTCGAGAACCAGCCTCTTTTACCGCGCCGCCGCCCGCATCGCTGTTGCCACCGCGCCAAGTAGAAATGAAATACTGAACATTTCTGAATTTTAGTCATTCTTGTTCAAACCACCATAAAGACGACAATAAATACGTTTACTATTTGATGCTACTATTTGAACTCTACTGTTCTATAATTAAAGGCGCGTGTAAACGACTCGCGCTACGCAACGCGAATGCACAGCAAGATTATGCGAATGTGTGCGTCTGTATAGATCGCGACACGTAAGTTGAATAATGCACAGAAGTAGATTTTATGGTCTCAACTGAAGTGCGGTATGAGGTGCAATGAAAGGGGCGAGGCGTGACTATAGCAACGTAACGACGCCCGCACCACAATAATAATTATTCAGCGCTCCTCACGCAGTCGCTCCCCTTATCCGCTGAAAACTAGACTTGCGCGGACGGCCGCCATCTTTTTTTTTTAATAATGCTAATTGACGGAACGAATAATTCGCGCGCCTGGTGGTAAGCGACACGCGATCGATCGATCGACCGCGCGGCGGGCGTGCACACTTACAAAGCCGCGCTGCTACGTTTGTATGGAGTTACCCTACTTGTCTTATTATACTTTGCCTGTACAGTAGTGAGACAGGTCAGGATTTATACAAATTACTTTAATCTTATTTGCAGACATGACAAAACAAATATCAAACTGGAAATATCACACTTGTTTATCGACGAGGCAGCTCAAGCACTAGAGCCAGCTGCACTGGTGCCCATCTCGAACTTACTGAAATCAGGGGGACAGCTCGTGTTGGCCGGAGATCCGAAGCAGCTTGGGCCTGTCTGCATATCAAAGGAAGCTAGCGACAGAGGACTTGGTAAGTCATGAATTTGTTATATTTTGGTTTACTATATTCGTTGTTATTGTTAGAGTTTACGCCAGAGCGTATGACAGACTCTGAATTTCAGTCGCTTATTTATTGACATTAAAAGCCATAGTAGCCTAATGGTTTGACCTACTGCCTCTCAAGCACAGGGGCGTGGGTTCGAATCCGGGCTCGGACCTCTTGAGTTTCTCGGAATTTATGTGTGAAATTTAATTTGAAATGTGTCATGAGCTTTTCGGTGAAGGAAAACACGTCATCACAACATCATGATAAAACCTGCACGTCGAAGAAGGTTCACAAGCCTCGGAAAACGTGTGAAGTCCCCAACCCGCATTGGGCCAGGGTAGCGGACTATGACCTAAACCCTCCTCTGAAAGGAGACCCGTGCCCAGCAGTGGGACGTATAAATGGGTTGATGATGATGATTTATTGACATTGTCTATCGCTGTACTCTTTTACTTTAGCTTAGCTTAGGGTTGTTTTAATTTTAATTGATAAATATATAATGTAAATAATTGAACTTACTTGTAACTTACTTGTACTATGTAATATATTTATCGCAGAAATTTTAACAACAATGTAGATACAGTTTTAACTGACTTGTGGCAAACTAAATTTCTTGCAATCGTAAACTAAATTTAATTTCAATTCATTTCAATCCATTTAGCTGTAACGTTATCAGTTACGAGTCCTACACCCTACCTACAGTGAGCTCGGGCTCGGCCTGCGGCGCGTGGTCAGTTTCAGATTACGGGGTGTGCATACGTACTTCGGTGGCACAGTGATTAGTATTATGGGCGCTCGATTAGGAGGTTCCAGATTCGATCCCTGATTTGAGCCAAAAAAAAATAATTTTTCATTGGTTCTGGTCAGGGTATTCTGGGTATTGCCCTCAGAATTATCGTTACTCTGGTACTCATAGTACAGGAAATTCCCTAGTTTGAGACCAGAAATTTGAAGTGATTGTCTGGCATTTTTTTCCCTAAATACTTCTATTTTTAGCATAGTTTCCAAGAAGAAAGAATCTAACGGAGAGACGGTCGAGACTTACGAGTAAGTATCTTATTTCCACTCCACCGGGAAGTACGCCTTACATTTTGGACAATTGTGAAATCTTATACCGTAATAGAGTCTCCGTATACCACCTACGTAAGCTGGCGTGCGGACGCTACGGGCTAGCCCTCCGCTGCACCTCGGCCTACGGCCTCGGCTCTTATGACTTTAAAAAAATGACCATACCTCTTTAAGAGCGGCCATATTAACAAATGGCAAAAAGTAAATTTTGACTGCAAATTATTATTAAACACCCATAGAGATGCCGATTTTCAACTGAAATTTCCTTCTGCCGCCAAAAAACCCTTCTATGTCAGCCATATTGAAAAATGGCGATAAAGTAATGTTGATCACAAATTATTATCAATCACTCCTAGAGACTCCCACATGCCAATTTTCAAAGGGATCAGAACAATTTTTTTCTACTGCCAACAAACGCTTGTATGGCGGCCATATTTGAAAATGGCGAAAAACCCATTTCGAGCACAAATTATTATATGGCACTTCTAAAGGTCCCCATATGTCCATTTTCAGCTGGAACAGAGCGAGTCTCTTTCGGCAGCTATTTTTAACGAAAAAAACACTTATATGGCAGCCATATTAAAAACTGGCGAAAAAAAACTTTTGACCCCAAATTATGATTAAGGACTCCTAAAGAACGCATGCCAATTTTCAGCTGCATCGAAGCAAGTTTTTCTTCGGCCGCCATTTTGGATTCGCCGTCTTGAATTTTTTTTACACAGGCAGTTGACCAGTGTTACCCTCTATGACATTCCTTCGAGCACCTCCACTTATCTCTAATAGTTTCCGTGATAGGAGGCTTTGAAATTTGTAGGGCGGCCGTCTTGTTTATTTGAATTTCGAACATTTTTTACTTCCCGCGGAAATTTACCAGGTGTATCTCATAAAAATGCACAAAAATCTCCCCCATGTATTATAGTTTTTGCAGGCCCTTGATCACTCGTTTACATTTTCCACAATCAGGTCTTCTCATATTTGATTCTTTGCCTTGGAGCCTATCCGCGTACAACAGTATAAATATCTTTTTTCCACCATATTGGGAAGTACGCGTTCTATTTTTCTAAGTGAGTCTAAACTTGTAGCTTTATATTATCAGTTATAGTAGTAGATACAAGGATAGTAGATTAAATGTTAGTTTAATATTTTATGGTACAAATATATGCCATATCGATGGCTTACTTTCTCAAACTCGTATCTTATGAAGAGTGATTATTTAGGAAATGGCAAAGCTTTCTATTTATTTAAAATTCCTTATCAAGGGTGTTAATTTGGATGCATCACTGCATCCAAACGCACGCAAATGACCCACCTATTGTATCCATACTTTTTAATTATAACGAACTAAATTTTTATTTTTATTACATTTTTATTTTTGTGTATAATTTCATTTATTATTTTACTTTTTTATATTTTTTATATTCACTTAATTTTTCTCGTTAAATTAATAAACACATCATCTTGTCACGATGCGTTCTGTACAAAATGTCATTGTCGCGAGGAACTTTGTGTTTATACAAGTGGTATTGCTGTGAACGTTCTCAAATCTATGTCATGTATAACTCGTTTGTCGGGGAATTCTTTGACATGCGCCATGTTACTCAGTTAAGGTTTTACCTATTGCACAGAAGGTACTTGCCGTCAATTTCGTACATAATCCAATTTATTCGAAATGATAAATTTTCTGTCGTCCTTTTCAATGCTGGTTTTCTTGACACACGCCATGACAAATTCTATGCGGTTTGAGCTGCCATGCTGCCGATATCGAGGCTATAAATGAAACTTGGCTTAGAGCGAGAGAGGAGAGGCGTGCGCCGTCAGTTCCGGATTATAGGCTTCAGCATATTCCACGGCCACATACTGTGCGGCATGGATTTGGTGTTGGGGTGGGGTGTTAATACACGTTTAATATAAATTAAACGTGTATTAACACACGACTATTAACTCACCCTCCTGCACCCCAAACCGTGGATCAGATGTGGCTTAGCGTAACAGTGAACACAGTTAAACTTGCCGTAAGTACGGCTTACCGTCCACAGTGTTGCCCTTGGATACTTTCATTGACGCACTTACGGATTCAATTACCTCGTTCTCGTCGTTTGATCATGTGCTTGTGTGTTATGTGCTTCTTGGCGATTTTAACGTGAACTTCTTGAATGTGGAGGACCCCTCTACAAGAAAGCCGTCGGACTTTTTACACTGTCTGACTCTTGAGTAATATGTCAAACAGCCAACACACTTTACTGAACATAGCGAAACATTGATTGACATTATGTGCTCCAGTAAAAAGGTCCCTGAGTTTCGGATTAATCATTTGCCGGATCTCGGCGGTCACGCATTAATCTCTGGGAAATTTAATATAAAAAAAGATAAAATGCCCCCAAAAAATATTATTTACCGCCCACTCACTGACATTGATGTGGATGCGTTCACCTCAGATGTGAATGCCTATCCTACATAATGAAATCAATTGGGATCGGTTGCAGTCGACTGATTTGGACGAAACTATTGATTATTTTAATGCCTACATACTTCATTTATTAAACCGTTACGCACCTGAGAGGAAGATTATTGTGAGGGAAAGGATGCTCCCTTGGTTTACATTTAACGTTAGGGAAATGATGAGACTGCGTGATCAGGCTCATCGGAGGTCTCGTAACACTGGGGTAGACACGCATAAAAAATATTATAAAGATCTCAAACAAATTGTATTGTCCGCGATAAGTGCTGAGAAAGCTATATTTTTCCAACAATATATTGTCGCCAACACTCACAGACCTCGCGAACTCTGGAAAAATATAAAAAATAACGTGGCTGATTTCAATACAAAAGATCGCAATATTCCCACACATTTGAGAGACCCTGATAGAATAAACGTATACTTCTTTCTTTAATCTGCCCACCTGTAACGTTGACAACTCGCACCAGGCATACTTTTCTTGTCGTAGGCATGGTTCCGCCGTGTTTAAGCTTCGTACTGTCCCGGAGCAATTTTGCCCATCAAGAGATGCCAGGGGCATAGATGATATTTCACGCGACATGGTGTTGCTTACTCTACCAAAAACTCTGACATTCATCAAGGCCCTAGTCAATCAATCGATCGAAACCTGTAAATTACCTGATTTTCTGACTTCGATGACTTACGACCTATCAGCATATTGCCTATTGTATACGTCTAAAATTCTCGAAAAGATCGTGTGTTGGCAACTCACAGAGTACCTTGAGACCAACGGAATATTGACATCGAAACAGTTGGGTTTCAGGAAGGGTCGCAGCACTGCTACCGTACTACTTGACGTGGTAGATGATGTATTGGCTGCGCAGGGCGCTGCACTATGGGAAATAGTAGAACAATGGCGTATCAAAAATGGTTTTGACCAATGTCTTAATTGAAATACACATTTAATTTTATTTGATAGTTTAGATGTTATACTTTATTATATTGAAGGCTTTTTATGTTAGATAGGTATGTTGATTTAACAAAAATACATCCAAAATGTCATTTCCCGTACTCATCTCGTTGTGCCGTATAATTTTGGAACTTTCGACGTCGTATTTCGTATTGTTTTTGTTAGATAAGCTATATATGTTATTATATATTTCTATAAAGCACATCTTACGTAAATGTCAAAAATAGTTGATATTTTTCAAATTTGTTGTGTAATATAAAGAAAGTAAATCGTAATTAAAAATGGAGACATTACCCTATCTTTATCAAATTCATCAAAGGTTTTGACTGTTAGCATGCCGAAGCTTCGAATTTTGTATTATTTCATAGCGTAAGTATTCATTATCAAAATTTTATAAAAAAACCTGCGGTTTTTGCGGTTTCTAAAGATATGAAAGAAATCGTATCAAATGTCCTACCCCAGAAAAATACCCTTATCAATGCAACGCGATAAGATAAAATAAGATAAGATGTGGTTGCATTTATAATATATATCAATATTATTCACACTACTCCATTACTACATAATGCTCTGACACATTAATTTCATAAATTTATTAAAACAAGCAGTCGTTTGTTACTGAATAAACTTTTCCAACTCCTTTGAAAATGAGTACTTTCAAATGTTTGAGACGAAAACTAATAAGAAGAAATGAATCGGCTCTAGAAACATTTTTACGACATTGTTAAGAACTTTCGGAGGACAATTTACGTTTGATAAATAGTTATTTTAAAAAAATTGCTAACACAGTTTAACAGTCGATGGAGCCAAGCATCACAAAAGAAAGAAGCCTTTTTGAGGGTTAACAGTGATTGGTTGGATCAAGAGTTGTCTGTTATTTTGTCAACAATAATCGATTCCATTCCATCTACTTCAATTGGAAAACGAGGAAGACTGTGACTATGTCGTATGAAAATTCTTCAGAATCTAGTAAGAAGGGCAAAAATACTACACTACTGAATGAATGTGGATTCGAACATGTCTATGGTGCATATATTCAAGGGCTGCGATCAAAGGGGGAAAGTAATGAAGCAAAAATCGTGGAGGCATTGAAAAAAATATCAGTGCTAAAATTGATGGACGACTCTAATACCATCCAAACGCTGAGCGATCAAGAAGCATTAAGTGTATTCATTGAATTGGATCTGACCAGGGCTCAATTTATATTTGAAGATTATTATGGATGAACGGAACTGTTTCTTACTACCTCCTTGTTCAGGACGAAAACGTGTTCGCGCCGCGCGCGAAAATCTGTTCGATCTTTTCGATCCGGTTCTTCGAACAGTCGTCGTAGGCAGCTAGCGGAAGCGCAACAAGAATTATTGAAGCTGAAAATCGATTTAATATCTGCAAAGATCGCGGCAATGCAAGAGGAATCAGACGAAGACGAACCAGAGGAAGCCACGATCCGCGAAGAACGCACATCGGAGTGGATTCGCACAAGCACTATTGGGTTGAGAAGAGAAGAGCAGGAAGACTACACTGCCGCCACACGTACGAAGGAAGATATATTGAAGGGAAGACCTGCCGAATCACAGGCGCCGCCGCCGACGCGCGACGTCATTCGACAGGAAAAAATCTCCACGTACGCGGCACCTGCGACAGCTGGGACCGGGTGCCCCCCCACCAACTACGCGGGGGGAGGGCCCCCTCTACATACGTCACGCACACAAGTGAGAGACAACAGCCGCAATACTATCGTAACAACGACGGCCACCTGGAACATAAGCCGCCGAGCGACATATGTTATGAAAAGTTAGCAACGGCGATCACTACTGCGGCACGAGCGATTCAACCCACTACTGCAAGACTTCAAGAATTACCCATATTCAACGGTTCGTCAAGCGACTGGCTGCCGTTCAAGACAGCCTATGAAGAATCTGCAGGACTGCTTACAGAACAAGAGAACCTGGCGAGGCTCCGGAGGAGCTTGAAAGGCACCGCTAGGGAAGCAGCTCAATGTTTATTCGTCGGAGCCACGTCCTCCAACGAAGTAATGAGCTTACTGACGTCAAGGTTCGGTCGTTCGGACGCGCTCGCACTGGCCGAACTGAGTAAGCTACGCACCCTTCCACGTCTGGGCGAACATCCGAGAGACATCTGCAACTTCGCATCGAAGATCATCAACGTCACGGCCACATTGAAGGCGCTAAACAGACCGCATTATCTACACAACGCCGAGATAGTGCGCGCCGTGGTTGAGAAGCTGCCTTCAGCATTGCGCTATCGATACTATGACTTTGCTACGGAACAGCCAGAATACCAACCTGACCTAGTAACCCTGACCGAGTTCATGCAACGCACAGCTGCACGTTGTGGGAGCTACGCGCCCGTCGAGAACACACCTGTGGAAGACCGGCGGGAGCCAGCAGGCAGGAGACCCATGGAGAGCTACCACACTCAAATAGCGAAGCCAGCCGCGCACGAACAAGTTACTACGTGTCCTATTTGCGACAAGACGGGTCATCATGCGGCGCAATGCGACGAAATGAAGACAGCAGATGTAGCCGCCAGGTGGGACATAGCACGCAAACATAGGCTATGTTTCCGCTGTTTACGGACACGCAAATTTCGCCATACGTGTAAGAACAAGAGGTGCGGCATCGACGGTTGCGAGTACATGCATCATTCACTGCTGCATGGCACTCCACCCTCATCAAAGGAGAAGAAAGAAGCTCCTGCATCATTTGTTGTGGCATCAGCAAAAGACAGAAGCAACACCACCGCGCTACTGAAGGTACTCCCTGTGCAAGTGAGGGGCCCCAAGGGTACGTGCAACGCACTCGCACTACTGGACGACGGGTCAACGTGCAGCCTGATTGAGGCGGCGCTAGCAAGAAGGATCGGCGCAGCGGGTACACCAGCACCCTTTTACATTGAGGGTGTAGCCGGCACACGAATCAACGTCTGCGAATCGCAACAAGTACGCATTTCTCTGCGCGGGCGCGACACGAATGAGCATACAATAACGGCCCGCACCATGAACAACTTGAAGCTATCGCCGCAAGCAGTCCCACGTAACGTCATACGAGCTTGCCCCCACCTGCACGACTTAGAAGAGCATCTCATCTACGAAGAGGGATCACCTACGATACTGCTGGGTCAAGACAACTGGCATCTTTTACTCACACATGCCGTGCGATAAGGAGACCGACACCAACCGATCGCAACACTCACCGATCTAGGTTGGGTTCTACACGGCACTAAGAGATCGAATGAAAGAGTCAACACCCACAAAGTACTCCACGCTGTCGCCCCTGATGATGAAGAGTCCATGGAGCAGATGATGAGGGAACACTTCAGCCTCGAGTCATTGGCTGTCCTACCGAGACGCAGCCACAACGACGACGAGCGACGAGCACTGCAACAACTAGAAGATAAAACCCGCCGTTTACCGGCGGGAGGCTTTGAAACCGGTCTTCTATGGCGTAACGAGCACGTTCGTCCACCTGACAGCTACGACGTGGCGTTAAGAAGATTGGAACTAGTTGAAAAGAAACTCGACCTCGACGAGGAACTGAAAAAGAGATACGAAAAACAGTTACAAACACTGTTCGACAACGACTACGCAGAAATAGCGCCACCCCATAAGAACCCGAAGACTTGGTATTTACCCCATTTCGCCGTCATCAATCCACAGAAGCCAGAGAAGCTCAGATTGGTCCACGACGCCGCTGCCAAAGCCAAAGGAGTCAGCCTGAACGACATGCTACTACCAGGCCCGGACTTAATACAATCCCTGCCCGTGCTGATGAAGTTCCGTCAGCGACCAGTAGCGGTAGCAGCCGACATCAGAGACATGTTTCTTCGAGTGACCATACGAGAGGAAGATACATGCAGCGCTTCCTGTGGAGAGGAGACGACCGAAATCGCCAACCGACCGAGTACCGTATGAAGAGTGTCATATTCGGCGCCACATCATCTCCCTGTACTGCTATCTACGTAAAGGACAAGAACGCGGAACACTTTCGTTCTCACTACCCCGAGGCGACGGCAGCAATCATCGACAACCATTACGTCGACGACTACCTAGCGAGTTTTGACGACGAAGGAGCGGCCGTACGCATATCCACACAAGTTGCGTACATACACAGCCGCGCGAACTACTTCCTGCAACGTTGGGCATCTAACTCGCGCCGAGTACTAAGCGCGCTATCACCGGGGTCGAAAGGCGACATACTACAACTGGACAGCACGAAAATACTGGGCATGGTGTGGCAACCAGAGGAAGACACCCTGTCTTTCAACATCAACACTCACAAAACACCGGCGGAAGTATACAACGGGGCAAGAACACCAACTAAAAGGGAGGCGCTACGCACTACGATGTCCATATTTGATCCATTGGGCATCGCCACTCCAGTCACCATACAAGCGAAGCGCATCATACAAGACACGTGGCGCTCAGGCATCGATTGGGACACCCCGTTAGAAGCGCCCGAGGCAGACGCCTGGAGCAGATGGCTGGAAGATGTACGACGACTCGCCAAGATAAAAGTACCGCGCTGCTATATGAAACTTAGTCACGCGCGTGGGATCCAGTTACACACATTCATGGACGCAAGTTCAACGGCATACGCTGCCGTCACCTATTGGCGTGTAGAAGACGAAGATGGCAACATACACGTCTCACTCATCATCGGCAAGGGGAAAGTAGCTCCGTTGAAGGTGATCTCCATACCACGACTAGAGCTGCAAGCTGCCGTGCTGGGTTGCCGTCTTACACAGACCGTCGTCGACGAGCATCAATTTAAACCGACAAGCCGCTACTACTGGACAGATTCCCGCACGGTACTGACCTGGATACGCAACGGACCGCGAGTTTATAAACCGTTCGTAGCGCATAGAGTGGCGGAGATCGCTGAACACACTAAAACGAAAGAATGGAGATGGATACCCACCAAAATGAACGTCGCAGACGACGCCACCCGCGACGTGCCACACGACTTCGACTCTAATCATCGATGGTACAGGGGGCCGGACTTTCTATATATGTCGGAAGAAAATTGGCCTCAAGAGGAAGTCACGGACGTCAACGTCACGGATGAAGAACGGGTCCACCTCACCACAGGCGTCGGCGCGCGACTGAAGGAAGCTCTACCCGAAGTAACTCGTTTCTCAAGTTGGATACGCCTCATGCGGACCACAGCGCGCGTACTACAGTTCATAGACAGGCTGCGGACGCGCACACAACAATGCGCCGCTTTAAGGAAGAGAACGAGGAAAAATGCCGACTTTGACCCTACTTGGCGAAAAAATGATACAGAAAGCAAGAAGACGAATACTTCCGAGGCTGCGCGTGGAAAGCAAGTTTTACACAAATTTAAAACGATCGACGCATCATATCTACGCCACGCCGAGTCGCTGTGGATACGAACACAACAGGAAGAGGCGTTCACCGAGGAAATCAACGCCCTCATGAGGGGGACCCCCTTTCCCCCCTCTAGCCGCCTTATGAAATTATCAACGCTACTCGACGGCGAGGGCATAATACGACTACGATCGCGTATAGCGGCCGCGGGTGATATGAGCAACAACGGTCACCAGCCGTGCTTGATGGAGACTACCCGTGGGTGCGACTGTATATCGCCTGGATACACAAACAGACGCACCACGGAGGCTTCGGCATCACCACCAGCGAGGTACGCCAGCACTACTGGCTCCTACGACTACGCAACGCTGTGCGAAGCGAACTGAAACGTTGCCGAGTGTGCCGCATCATGAGAGCCACGCCTCCACAACCCTCGACTGGAAACCATCCGCCCAGCCGCCTCGCTCACCATCAACGCCCGTTCACATACACCGGGCTGGATTTCTTCGGCCCACTCCAAGTCACAGTAGGCCGCACACGACAAAAAAGATACGGAGCGATCTTCACCTGCCTAACCACGAGAGCGGTCCACGTCGAGGTGGCCGGAGATCTGAGCACCGACTCCGCCATCATGGCACTCCGTCGCTTCATATCGCGACGCGGATGCCCGACGGAGCTGTGGTCTGACCAGGGAACCAATCTCCGCGGCGCGGACGCCGAGCTACAGAGGGCAGTACTAGAAGCTATACAGGAAGACGCCAGTATCCGGTTCATCAAGTGGAGATACATACCGCCGAGCGCACCGTTCATGGGAGGAGCATGGGAGCGTCTGGTACGGAGCATCAAAACAGCTCTGTACACCGTACTGCACGAACGCGCCCCGAAAGAAGAGGTCCTGCACACTCTATTGGTCGAGGCAGAGCACACCCTCAACAGCCGCCCTCTCACCCATGTATCCACTGCTCCAGAAGACGAGAACCCCCTGACTCCGAACCACTTCCTACTGGGGGGTCCCTCACGAGTACCACTGCCTGGAGCCTTCACAGACACTGACATCGATGGGCGCAAAATCTGGCGGACCAGCCAACGACTGGCCGACATGTTCTGGTCACGCTGGGTAAAAGAATACCTCCCTGATCTCCAGCACAGACGAACTCCGAGAGCCACCAACGGCGCGCTACAACTGGGAGACTTGGTGTTCATAGCCGACGGGACGCTACCACGCAACACCTGGCCCCGCGGCATCATTGTGGCTACATACCCAGGCCCCGACGGAGAAATAAGGGCGGTCGACGTGCGGACAAACAGAGGAATTCTGCGCCGTCCTACAAAGAAGCTGGTAATCATTGCAACGGGAGACAACGAGACAACGAAGCGCGAACCCTAGGACGTTCCAGCTACAAGCTGCGGCGGGAGAATATGTTCAGGACGAAAACGTGTTCGCGCCCATATGATTTATAATATTGTAATTTATTATTGTAATTTATTATTGTTAATTTCGTTTAAGATTTTGGTAAATAAACGAGAGGGAGAGAGGGGTTTTGCTTGGA